AATACCCCTCGTCCTCTATCTAAATGAGAATAATAATCTGTGCATTTAACATGGAACCTTTCACATCATAAGGACTTTGCAGGATGCACTGTAAACTGTGGTAACTGTTTTATTTTTGGTGTCTGACGCATGTCTGTGTCCTTCCAGGGAGAGGGAGTGCATATTCCATTCCAACAAATATCTCTGGTATTTCCACGTGGAGGTGGAAATGCATTCAACTCTCAGTTTTGGATGTCTGACGCCCATCACCATGCTCAAAAATATCCAAACCAAACACTTACCCAAACACTTAGTGATCATTATCATTGTGTTACAGTGCTAAGCCAAGAGTTTTAATAACAGATCAAACCCCTCCAATGAAGCCAACAAATAGATTCTAATCGACAAGTGTGAAAGGAAAACAGTCAGCTAACATGATATCTTTGCAAAAAGCAAAGAGACAGCAGTGAACTGTATATGATTCCATCGAGGGCTTTGAAAATGATCAGCCGCCATTTTCTATCTGAACAAAAGCAAAATGACGGATAAAAGTTCTCAACCATTCGGTTCAAATTAGACACACAAACTGCAAAACCGCTTCCAAATATTTCACCTTTATTTTACATTTTACTGTTTGACAAATCGGGCGACAATTCATTTCAGAACAGTAATGTATTCCTACGCTACAGAAGTACAAAGATCATGATTTGAAAACACCAACCTCTGTGTCAATAGATTCCAACCAAAGTAAAATGTTCGTTAAAAATCAGCCTGTCCTAACTGCTGAGGTGCCAGTACTGCTCATCCTTCCCTTCAATGATAGGTAGGAGGCACTGAACTTTGTGTAACGTCCTTTTCTACCTTTCCTGATAATCTGTCCCAATTGTTGATTGCTTTCTGAGTAAAGAAAAACTTCCAGGTATCACCTGCCTTAATCCAGTTTATATGACATTGATTGATGCATCTCGTATGGATGATTGGTTTGTGCCATGGCACTGGACAATGCAGTTCGGGGGTTTCTTTCGCCCACAAAATATACAGTCAATTCACTTTACAGTATATTCTGTGAAGCGCTTTGAGATGTCTCAAAGGGGTGATGGGCACTGTATCAAAGGCGAGGATTATTATCATTACAAATCTGGTTGGGTAGGCACCAAATGTCATTGCACTGCAGTTTTAATTTCATGGACAAGATACTTTGCTGGAATCTATTCATCGCATCAATAAAATATTGTAAAAAATACTTGAAAGGAAATCCCGTCTTGCTACATTAGAAATGCGATCACAGCTCAAACAATATTTAACAGCGAAACAAAGTATAAAAACAAAACCTATGTCTGTGTTTGCAACGGATAAATCTCCCCCCCACCCTGCGTCAATCTAATGGAAAACTGAGCCCGTCGGGGAACGTAAATCTTTCACATTTACTTGAAAAGGAACGTGTTTAGTTTAGGTGTTCACAAGGCAACAACCGGTAGAGATTATATTTTTTGCCTGTTTGCATCGAATAAATCCAAGCGCACATCAGTGTCAGCCATGGGGCAGAGGTGAGCAGTCAGCGACAGGTCAGAAATCAACACTGTACCGTGAGATGCACCTCTGACAAATCTCTGCCTCATCTGCAGGAACACCTCAGCCTGAGCTGCACCACCTTTGCTCTGGCCATTATATCGCGGTCTGTTGGTGAATTAATGATGCCTGGTGGACAACGCCTTTTCCTTTGCCAGATCAGAACAAAGGGAATAATCTTACAACTCGAATAAATTCGGGTAAGAGGCGAGTCTAGAAAACATTTACAAGGACGGACAGACTGCGGTGACCTGGAACACACACAGCCGAGGGCGTTAGGAGCAGAATCGATCGAGAAATTTAAGAGGGAAGTGCGTACTGTTAATTGGGGAAGTAGCAAGGGTGTGAAGGGCTGTAAGGAGAAAATGAAATTAGAAAGATAAGGAGCTGCATTAACTAATGAAATAGTGCTGCAGATCTCAACGAGCCAAGTAGCTCTTGTTCCGGGGCTGAACGGTACATATCACAGTGGAGGCTCAAGGAGCAGAGTCAAGGAGCAGACTTCATGCACACCCCCCGTCAGCTACTGTCGGCTGTTGTATTGCACAGTAAATGGAGATCCACATCGATGGTTATAGAATCACAAACCCACGCACTTCATGAAACAGCCCAACATCTAACAGCACTGCTGCTCGAATCCATTCATCATCCATTCATGTCTCTGGAGCAGTTGGGATTTGTTCAGCCAAGGCAAGACGGAGGGCCATGTTATCTGAACACATAGACATGGTGTGAGCTTCTGGTGGACAGGGTGAGAGTGATCAGGCAGCGCACAGATTAGAAGAATCCAAGGTGAAGAGACAGAGAAAGAACTTTGCGACAAAACGTCCAAAACAGGTAATTACTTACAAGTGTAGTGACGATTTTTGTAGGCAAACAGGGCAGCGATTTGTGTCAGCCAAGTCTCACACACAGCCATGAGGTGGATTGGCAATTAATCTTGTGCCAAGGCATTGAGGAAAACTCCCTTCTCTTCCCAAATATTGCGGCTGACGCATCTGGCCGGCAGGCAGGACCTGAGTTTAACATCTCGTCCAAGAGCAGACTGAGATGAGGGCAAGTTTGGGGTCAAAGGTTTACCTCTATAGCAGGTGCCCAGAGACAGGCGATTGACTCAATCTGGGTAGTAAGACGATGGGAGCTCAGCCATTGTCACCTGGTGTTTACATCTGCCGAAGAATTAAAGGTTTGCGCGTGAGGTTGTTATGGTTCCCTCTTCCACAGGGGCTCAGGTGCAGCCATGGGGGTGGGGTGCGAGGCTTCTGTACCCAGCTGCTTCAACCGCCCAGCGCTGTGGCCTATTTAAAACAGGGTAGAAAATTTCTTCTATGCAAACTGCCGTACGTTACCTCTCTGCTCTCAACACCTTTGACTAAAGCGGCCACGGCTCGCCCACAAAAATATACAGTCGATTTTTTCTTTACAGTGTATCCCGTGAAGTGCTTTGAGACGTCTCGAAGTTATATCAAATGCGTTATATCAAATGCAAGGATTATTATTATTTCTTCATTGGTCAGGTTAATGGCAAGCAACGTAACAAAAATGTGCATTCTCCCTGAGCTCTGAATTTCTTTTCTTCTGTTATTTTGACTCGCAAACGTGTCGACTAAAATGCCGATAGAGTGAATTACAATAAAGTTACAGGGAATGATAATAATGCTGAATGCTACGCGTGGAGTGTGCAAATGAACCCAAGATGGCTCCACTGCTCAGAATATTTGGTCAAAGGGAAGGAAAAACATAGGAATCTCGGACTCTATCCAGCTGATCCCGTAGGAATGTTTGCATCGGATGTAACGTCTTGCACATGTTGTATCTACTTCATTATTCATCGCTGGAGAGCTGTAACAAGAGGTCCCTCTGCTTCACCGTCGGTGGCTATGCTTTCAGTTCCTACGCCTCAAAGCACTGGAACTTTCTCCCCCAATCCCTCCGCCTTGCCTTCTCCCTCCCTCCCCACTTTCAAATCCCGCCTAAAGACCTTCCTTTTTGATCGTACTTATGGTCACTTTCCCCATTCCCTCTCCTACCAGGCCCGGGATCAGACTCCGTCACTGTTAAATGCTCCGGGATGCTACCTTCCGTGAAGGGCGCTGGACAAATGTAAGTTGTTGTTGTCATACTCAACCATTCAAGTTTATCGCATGGATTTCCATTGTAATATTGGTTAAAAGCACTCAGGAAGGATATGCACACAGACGCACACACACACAGACACGCACAGTCACATGCCACTCACCCCATTCATTGCTACTGTTGGTTACCCTTTTTCGTTAACCTTTTCTTTAAAAAGTAAAAACCTCTGCTATAATACATCCAAGGAAGAGTTCATTTGTACAATTTCAAAAAAGCCTTTAGAAGCATTATCAGCAAAAGGGCAAAGTTACAGCTGTAAATGCAATCACAATGCTTTGGCTTCATAGCTTTATACAGTATTTTCCTGTGCTGTGACCACTGACACACCATCAAAAACAACAGGACACACAATGCAACTTTGAGTGACAGGCTGTCCCGAGACTATCGCTTACTGAACAGACACACATGACTTCTCAACAATAGTGGTTGTGGAACTGCATCCAACTTTGGAGTCTAATGCTTGAGTTGACGGGTACAGCAGATCAAACATTATTTGTGAGGGGTGGCAAAGCAGAAAGCAAACTGAAGCAGAGTTCAAGTGTCTGAGGGAGACTTAGATTTGTCCACATCTGCGTCTCTGTTTCCGTACCTTTCAGTCTAAAGCACATTGTGGTATATGGCTCTGTGCTACTTGCAGCCCATGGCCAAGTACTGGAACCGCCACTGAATGGTCATTATTTATTCATCAATCACACTGTAGACAAAACCGATGCTTCTGAAGACGTCTTGTCAAGGTTCTGAGTCTTTTATTGAAAGAGAGCTCTGGTTGAAGCAAGGTGACGTCTGCGGGAATATCAAAACATATCAAAGAATGGCTTTTCAGGTAACTTGTCGTTCTTTCCAGGTGTACCTTTTGGAAATATTCTGGCATGTTGAATAAACCACGTGGGTATTGGATACTACAGGCTGTGTGTCAGCTTGGCTCAGTGGTACTGCTTTCACCTCCGAGTCAGAAGGTTGTGGGTTCAAGCCCCCAAGTCGGGATTTGGAATCACATAGTCTAAGCTGACACCCCAATGCAGTACAGGGGTGGTGTTGCATTGTCAGAGGTGCCATCGTTCAGATGAGGCGTTAAACCAATGTCCTATCTACCTGTTCAAATGGGTGTTAAAGTTCTCATGGCACTATTTGAAAAGAGGAATGTTTCCCCTGGTGTCTTGGCCAACAATCCCCCAAATAAAATTGGTCACTCACTCCATGGCTGTTTGTGGGACGCTGCTGTGCACAACTGGCTGTTGTGTTTCGCCCACAAAGTACACAGTCAATCCATTTTACAGTAAATCATGTGAAGCGCTTTGAGACATTTCAACGACATGGTAAGGCTCTATATCAAAGGCAAGAATTATTATTATTATTTTAATATTGTCCAGTGCAATCATCCTCTGTTGAGTTTGTGCCTCCTCGGGTTTATTGCTGCTACAATAAGGCCTCGTAGGCTATTGCTGAATAACTGAAATGATAACTGAGTGTATGGTCAGGTTCCAGATCGAGGAATGATCTGGAATCGAGAATGGCTGAAACACAGCGATGAGTTTAAAAAAAGCAAAAGCATGATGCGTTTAAAAAAAAATGTCCTTGGATGAAACAAAATGAAGTGTGATTGACCGGGATCATTTCCTACAGAAACGGTGCTCCCCTCTTGCTATATGGGAGGAGAACTCGTATCTGTCTTGGCTGCGGTACCCACATACGTTGCATTCGAATGGGTCTCGGAAACGGTGGCAGCCCATATGTATCGTAAACATCACGTAATCCAGGTACAGCACCCGGCAGTGGTCGCATTTGAAGACACGAACTTGCTCCCCCTCGTTGCTGATGACCTTGAAGGCCTCTTGACCTGGTTCCCGTGGCACTTTGACGAGATCAATGTTCCTCGGGTGCTCTCTCACGGAGGGCATCCCGTTTCTCACTCGAGGCACCACCATGTGACTCTGCAGGTAAGCTTGATGCTGACGTTCCTCGTGGTTGCTCTCTGTGTCAGTGGAGTCCTGGCAGCTGTTGCTGGGGGAAACGCCTCTGTCAGAGGGTTTTGTTCTCGAGAGGGAGCCGTGGTTCTCCAGTGCTACTTCCCGGATGCCGCCATTCGGGGTGTCCGAGCGGGTCAGTGCCAGTGGGTAAAGGCTGCTGATGACGGACACGGTCTCTGAAGTGGGCACGGGAGGCATGTGGATCAGGGGTCGCAGTGACTCGGCCCCCAGGTAGTTAATGGTACTGTTGATGGTCTGGTCTAAGTAGCGTGTCTGCATCAAGTCACCTTCCTTGCCATAGCACGGAGGGGAGTTGTACTGCACGTCGGGGTAGCTGAAGCAAAACTGCTTCTCACCTGTACGAAACAAAGCGAACAATTTAAGGCTCTGCAGGACACACTTGCTCTCAGCTGCAGCTCTCGGCTTGGCGAAGGGCACGGTTAGAATTTTAGTATTGGGCCATCAGGAGGAAAATCAGTCTGATCTGCATCTCAGACAGCAAACTGCAGCAGCACGCACACATACACAAGCAAAGGTGGAATCCCAGGTCTAAGTGAACATGCAACTGGGATGAAACAGAACACGGATGGAATATTCCTTAACGGAGGACATCTCAAAGTGCTTCACAGGATATACTGTAAAGTGGAGCGGTTCTATCTTTGTACAAACACACAGTAGCCAATTTGCACACAGCAATGTCCCACAAACAGCCATGAAGTGAGTGATCAATTTTATTGGGGATTGTTGGCCAGAGCACTGGGAGAAACTCTCTTCTCTTTTCGACTGATCTTTACCACTTTATCACCCGAACAGGCAGACAAAACCTTGGCTAACATCTCATCTGAAGGATGGCAGCTCTGACAATGCAGTGCTCCCTCCCCCCAGCTCTGAAGTGGAATGTCAGCATAGAAAATACACGTTCCTATGTGGAGTTTGAACTCCTAACCTTGTGAATCATAGGCGAGAGTGCTAAAAAATGAGCCAGATTGAAACCTTGGGCATTATGACGCATTGTTGTGCACAAATTGGCTTCAGTGTTCATCTACAAGATACAGTGACTGAACTTTATAGTAAATCCTGTTAAGTGAAAGGTGCTATGTCAAATGCAAGGATTATTGTTAGTATCAAACCTTTGTGTATTTCTAGTACAGGTGATGAAGAATTCTCTTTTTCACAAAACAAGACAGAACAAATAAAAAAATGATATTGCTGCATTCAGCTCCCTAAAACAAGGTGGGATATGAAACCGAAAATGTCACACATCTATCGCTAAGTAAAACACTTTTCTCGATCTCCGTCTATTGATAGGAGTTTCCTGTTCTTTCTCGTTAAGTGTGAAGTTTCTGAATTTCATGCACTGTGCTGTGCTCAGGAGGCTCATCGCTAAATCTAGCTGGCATATTCACACCATTTCACATTTGCTTATTGCAACCTCTAATCAACTGTGTTTTATTGTCTGTGGCACACAAAGTACTTAAAAGTAATTACAGTGCAAATTCAAAATTATTATTAAACTGTTTGGCAAATGTTGTCCATAGCTACACAAATATAATTTCTCAAACATTCTCTAAATGTGAGACAACATTCTCTATCACCATAGTTGCGATAGAGTCCACGAGAAGGTGTTTTCACATCGATAGTGTTAAGAGCGCACTGCATTGGAGTGTCAGCCTTGATTATTTTTGGGGGGTCGCTGGGTGTCTGACACACGCAGAAACCCATCACTGTGCTTAAGAGGATCCAAACCAAGCTGGGAATTCCAGGCATCCCACCTACACATGGAAATCCCGGAGATAGATTATTGAAATGGAAAGCGCGCTCTCTCCCTGGAGGGACACATCCTGCTTGCCTAATTCAGTAAAGTATTAGGCGCAGTTTGGCAAGAGCCAAGGCTTGGGGACCCCAGAGTGTGTGTTGGGATAACTGCCGGAGTCTAACTAGCTGAACCATCGATAGCATTGTCCGATGAGCCAGGCTGGCTGTGCTGTCATCAGCAGTGCCCTGACTACTGCAAACCTACTTGATTCAGGAACCGGATAATCAGTAGTTGGTCATTTGATATCCAGCAAACATAGGTGTGAGCCCTCACTAGGTGGATAGCAGGTATGAGGAACTTGCTCTGACCTTCCTGGAGGGTAACACAGCTCAGTAGGAAATATGCGAGAGCATTGCCACCACCTTCCTGCCCACAGGTCATCTTGCCCACATCCTTACCCATTGAGTGATAGTTCCACTAGTTGGAGGTGCCCGTTTCCTACTAAAAGCCTGTCTTTCACACACAGTATTAACAGCCTGGTTCCCACACCCAGTATCTATAGCTTGGCTCCTACACACCGTGTCTATAATTGTCAGTATATGTACTTTTTTATTTTCCCAACAGACCTGACACAATAGATAGCTAATGCACCTTTCTCGCATTTATATATTCTAAATGCCAAGAGATCCCTACCAGATGATAGGTATTGTTCAGGTTAAGGTCACTGGATATTTTTGACTTTCTCGTACTTGTTCAAAAAAATAACAGAGCTCAGCAACAGAGTGGCGGGAACAAAAATCATTTTGATGCAGATAAAACTAGTCGAGTATATTTATTTCGCAGTGAAAATCTGCTGGGATTAAAAACCCAACGAGAGAGGAAGACGTTAAAGAGACAAACGCAAACTAACAGGTCACGTTCTTCGGATGAATGGCAGTCATCTAGAAACCTGGGAAATGTTAATATGACACAATCAGAGGTGTCAGAGAAGATTCATTATTTTTAATATCGCTGCCGGTCTGAAAAGATAGCAGCTTTGACAAACAGGGCTGTTTGTTTTGCTGGCTGTGCCAGAATTAACTTCTTCACAAAAAGCTGCAAAGGAATAGTTCATTACCCAAATTCTGTGGGTTGAGTCCTGCATGCCTGAGTGCTCCCCGAACGTCAATTATACTGGGGAGGTAAATTCAGAACAAATCTACGCAAACTCTATTTCAATGAGCAAATAGCGAACCTGTGGAACAGGCTCCCTAGGGAGACGGTTGAAGGAGGAAGTGCTGATTCTCTCAAACAGACTAGATAGGTTTCTTTTAGGAAATAACATTATGGGACACAGTACATAGGAAGTTCGGGACATATGTGCATGTGAGCGCCAGGAAGATGGAAGGCGAACTAGATGGACCTTGGTCTTTTTTTTTGTCTAGCATTTCTTATGTTCTTATGTACTGGTTAATTTTTCATCATCTAACAAAGCAATATCGTAAAGAAAGAGGAACAAGCAAAGGAAGTAGCACTCACAGACATGGCCAAAAATCTCGAGAAAACCTACAATCTTTAAATACTGATTCGCTTCTCATCGTCCATCACTGATTTTCAATGGTTAAACGCCGCATTTTCAATTCAGCGAGAAACAATTATGTCAATTAGGTGCAATTAACGCTTCAAATATTTTTGTAGAAAAATTATAAAATTACCATCAAACACGTGTGAAATGTTTCTCTTTTACAATTTACACATGAATAAGAAAGATATGAATATGCTAGAGCGGGAAACGGGCAGGGAGGCGGTTAGAATAGTGTGTGTGTGTGTTGGGGGGGGTGGGAGGTGTGGAGATTGCGTGGAGTATAAATACTAGCAGGTTGGGCCAAATAGACAGCTTCAGTGCTGTAGATTCTACATAATTGTTGTTGACTTAAACTGAATCCCCAACACATTTAGAAAAATGCCAAATAGCCACATTAATAGAACACATGTCAGAGCACTCTGTGACCACAGAAATACAAGAAAAGCGTCTTAAAACAATTGATTTTCAGTTTCCTATGAGAGGCAGAGATGAAAGGTCTCGCTTGTCAAGTGCAGCAGAATTTACTCTCCGTACTTCATGAGAAGGTAGAATATTGCCCTTTTAACGCTTGGGTGGAACCGCTATTTGGACTAGTTTGTTTACTGCTATACCTTTTAACACAACCGTTATTGAAACTGAAGCTTGTGAAACCTTATCAAGATTTCTGAGTGAGCGAGTCGTGGACTTTGAAACAGTTGTATTGATCTTTAGATGCCGAACTTCCACAGTCTATACAGCGTTTACATTTTTAGTGGTTGCATTATTAATAAACAATAATAGCCCTCGCAATTAATACAGCGCCTGAAGACGTCGTCGAGGCGCCTCAAAGCGCTTCACAGGATTTACTATAAAGTGTTTTTGTTTAAAGTGCATTGATATACTTTACAATGCATACATTCTCTGCACATCTTCCCATATCAAAAAAATATGCTCATTCACTTCATGACTGTTTGTGGGACGCTGTTGTACACAGTCACTAACCTTTCCAGAATAATCTGTGAAGCGCAATAAACTGTTTCTATGCGATAACCCGTTAGATCAAAAGCAAGGATTATTATATACTTAGTATTGTTAGGTTCTTTCAGCACAGAAACATCCACACACACACCCCCCCCACCATACAGTAGTTAAAATGGCACCAGATTTCTTTCTGAATGGTGCAAAGCATTAGTCCCGCGAGCTTTAACTCCACACTGGTGAGTTAGCAGCGTTCAGTATTCTGTCAAGAGAACTGCAGTTGCACCAGAAAAGACATACATTGCAAAGTGGTTGTATTCACGTCGGTAAGCAAGCTGCAAGCATAGGGCGGGGAGGTGCGGGGGGGTGGGGGGGGTGGTGGGAGAGCAAATCCTCCAGTCTAACTTCACAGACAAGTGGGCGTCTGAGGCTAGGGTTAGTTGTAAATGACTAAAATAATGCGTCTTAAGTTCTTACCAATAAACTTCTGAGGCATTGAGCTTTTCCGTTTTGCAACGTTGCTAGCGAGCCTGTCCAAAACAAGAGCTCGTTCAGAACCCATCTCTGCCTTCAGCCTGTATTGTTGAGCCTCTTCGGTCTCTGGCAAAAGAGAAGAGAGAGAAAAAAAAAATCAACAGAATAACATGAGGTTTCACCTCGTAGCAGCCTCTCTGAAGCAGGTGGAGGAAGTCTGGAGGCCTGACGTAATGATTTGCCAGTTTTGGGGGCATGGCTGTGACCAGAGAACCATGGAGAGCGAGGCAGGGACCTTGTGGTCACCACAGTTTCGCTGAAGATATCAGCGTGCACTCATCTATGGAGGAAATAACAGACAAGGTACTGGGTTTTGTTGGCTTTTAATAGGGAGAAAGAAAGCTTTCATCAGCAGGCAGTTCTGAGATTCTGACTCACCCAGTAACGGACTCACAGTAAACTCCATGAAACTCTAAAATAAAAGTTCTTTTAAGCAGATGAAAACCACTGGCCATAATGAGAATGAGAGCATCAAAGGTAGCATTAAAGACGCGGAGTGCATATAACTTCTTCACCAAATTATATGCAAAGTAAATACGTTTAGTGCCCACACTCTTCAATTACATGCCACTAATCCAAAACGGTACAGTAATATCAATAACCGTGTTCATTCTTCTGAACTGTATACCTTCCCCAGAAAACATGGTGGACGATGGACTGGTTTTAATGCCTCCTGTGAAATAACTGAGCAAGTGCAGGACATCAAAGAAATTCTCTAGCCACTGGGAAAGGCTGTGTGGTGCACAGAAACCTCAGGTGTGACATTCAGCCTCACTGTTTGAAAAAAAAACAATTCGTGCAAATGAATTCCACCCAGTAGTGGAGCAGAGGGATAATGATGTGTGCTTTTGGAATTAAGGCACCGTTAATGTCCGCTGGATTCAAAGCCAGCTCCTGGAATAAAAGTTATGTGTCAAGGCTTCCTATCCCTCCAATGTAAAATAGGTTTTCAGCTTGGTTTAGGAGGCAGCTTCTGGATCAGAGGATTGAGTTCAAGTCCACCCCAGGATTCATAATAATCATAACATTCCTTACATTTGATAAGAGTGCCTTAACATGTCGTTGGGATGTCTCAAAGCGCTTCACAGCATACGATGTGAGCTCAAAGTCCTAACTTACACTCCAGTACATTGTCAGCAGTGACTTCCTTTCGAGTAAAATGTTATACTAAGGTCCTGTCGGCCTTTTCAGGTGGATGCTGAAGATCCTAAGAGGCAATATGAAAAGAGCCCTCCACCTCTCATTTTCTTTGAGGAAATTAACTGTAGCCAAAAATCTCACTTTAAAAAATACAGTCACTACATTTCCTGGTAAATCCTGTGAAGTGCTTTGCGACCCCCTCCTGATGTGAAAGGCGCTATGTCAAGTGCAAGGATTACAGGCCGATTGGATCAGAGAATAATTATTGTGCAGAGCTTTGCAATGTTTCACTGTTAAAAAGGCCCTATAAAAATGCAATTCTTTCGTACCTGACACGTGCAAATTCTACGGAATCCCACTGATTGGGGCAAAGAATTTGCATAAAATCGTACAGCACAAAAAGAGGTCATTCGGCCCATCGAGTCTGTGCCGTCTCTTTGAATAGAGCAGTTAATGTCAATCTCACTCCCCAGCCCTTTCCCCATAACTCTGCAAACTCGTTCTCCTCAAATACCCATCCACAGTGTTTTTAAAAGTAGTTATTGAATCGGCCTCGACCGCCCTTTCAGGCAATGCCTTCCAGATTCGAACAACTCGCTGCGTGGAAACATGTCTTCTCACCTCCCCTCGGCTTCTTTTAAGAGACTATTTTGAATTTGTGACCTCGAGTCACCGATACACCCACCAGTGGAAACATTTTTTCCCTTTTTAACCTATCAAATCCCCTCATGATTTTGAAGACCTCTATTAGGTCTCCTCGTAACCTTCTCTGCTCCAATGAGAATAATCCTCGCCTCTCTCGCCTTTCCTCATAATCAACGTCCCTCATTCCTGGTACCATCCTCGTAAATCTCCTCTGTACCTTTCCAATGCCTTAACATCCTTTCTGTAGTGTGGTGCCCAGAACTGGGCGCAGTATTCTAACTGAGGCCTAACCAGTGTTTTATATAGATTAATCATAACCTCCTGACTCTTGCACTCTATGCCCCTATTTATAAAGCCTAATATCCCATATGCCCTTTTTACAGCCTTATCTACCTGTCCTGCCACCTTCAAGGATTCATTTACCTGCACTCCCAGGTCTCTCACTTCTTTTACCCCCCCCACCCCACTTAAGATTGTATTACCCCCTATATTGCCGCCCCTCATTCTTTCTACAAAAATGCATTACTTTGCAATTCTCCACATTGAAACTCATCTGCCGTGTGTCGCCCATTTTACCATTCTGTCTATGTCTTCCTGCAGTCGGCTCCTATCCTTCTCACTGTTTACCCCCTCCCTAACTTTGTATCATCCTCAAACTTGGAAATGGTACTTGCTATACCCAAGTCCAGATCATTTATGTATATTAAGAAGAGCAGTGGTCCTAATACCGATCCCTGGGGACACCACTGTACACTTCCCTTCAGTCAGAAAAGTAGCCGTTCACCACAACTCTCTGCTTTCTGTCTCCCAGACAGTTCTGGATCCATGCCCTGAGCGAAGGGCACGGGCAGGTTGGTAGGGGGTTAGAAGGTCGCAGTGTTAGAGTGGGGCGAGGCCATGGAGGGCTTTGTAGGTGAGGGCCAGGATCTTGAACTGGATCCTCTGAAGGATAGGGAGCCAGTGGAGTCGGTCGAGAATAGGGGAGATGGGGTCACGGAGTTTGGTGCGGGAGAGGACATAGGCTGCAGAGTTCTGGATTATCTTCAGCCTGTGGAGCGAGGAGTTGGGAAGGCCGATAAGCAGTGCGTTTGCATAGTCGAGCCTGGAGGTGATGAAGGCATGAACAAGAGTTTCAGCGCCTGAGGGGTGAGATAGTGGTGAGAGTCGGATGATGTTATGGAGGTGAGGGAAGGCAGAGCGGGTCATGGCTTGAATGGGGGGGGGGGGGGGGGGAGGGTCGAACAAGACACCCAGGTTCCTGACTGGCTGGTGAGTTGTAGTGTACACCATGGAGGTTGATGCTACCAGAGCCCAAGGTGCTGAGGCGATGGCGTGAGCCAATCAGGAGCCTCAGTCTTGTTCACATTCAACTGTAGGAAATTTGCCCTCATCCAGGACTTGATGTCCAACAGACAGTCTGTCAGGACAGCAGTGGTCCTGGAGTTGAGGGTGGAGGCAGAAAGGTAGAGTTAGGTGTCATCCGCACACATGTGGAAGTTGACCCCATGTCCCGAAAACAGGGAACAGTGACATATTTCGTTCTGTGAGTGTTGGGGTTTCACAGGTAATTGTAACACTGTATTCAATAAGAATTGTTTCTCACATCAAGAGCCTCAATAACACACGACAAGATGATAATGTCCTCAGGACGTAGGTACACCCATTTTACCAATGAGCAGCGTGGGTGATCCAAGAAGGTGGCGACAGATACCGTGAGACTGAATCCGAGTATAATGGCTGGCAATGCAAGGTTGCTGAGACACAATTTATTTGGCACCTGGGGCCACCTGGGTAAGGTGATGGAGAAGGCCCCTGGTGTGGGAGCAAAAGATGCACCAAATTAACATGGCGAGACCCTGCTTGGTCATGGTGATAATAGTGATCTTTGCATCTGCTATAGCGCTTTATCACGCTTTCGAGACGTCTCAAGGCGCTTCACAGAATATACTGTCAAGTGAATTGACTGCATATTCTGCGGGCGAAACGCAGCAGCCAATCACGCACAGCAGCGTCCCACATAACACTCGTGGATTTTTCGAGTTACCGATTTTATTATGATGCAGATTTGAAAGCTCTGTGTCGCGCTGAAGGCCAGCAGATGGGCAGGAATTGTACAGGATAAAGCTGCTGACGTTACTACTGTGATATCTACACACACCACTCACTGCATGTCTTTCAACCAATGTGAGGCCACAGAAGTGATCAAACTGCATCATGTTTCCTTCTCACCGATGGCTCATTCGAACACAATGATTTGACATGTATTTACCTTAAAATCATCTGTTCCCGCACACTAGAATTTATTAATGAACTCGTTCTTTCGAAGGAATCTACGAGGAGCCATTGTAAAGAACAAAACTGTTCGTGATACAACACTGGTGCTTGCTTTTACTGCACACATAGGAGAGCAAACATTTTGATCATTTCACTTTGGGGTAAATGGTGCAAACACGAGCTCTAACCACCTCGGCCCAGTCGAAGTAAAGGAAAATGTTCATTTCCTGTCAAATATGTAATGTGGTCTGTTCGTGATAGAGGGATATGCACAGAGGTAGATTATTTTGCAATCACAACTGTCTATCTGATTAACAGCGATTATTATCAGAAGCTACTGGAGTGCTTAGATAATAATTACATAAAATAATGCATCTCTCTTTTTTACTCAAAAAACTCGTTCGATTTTGGATATTTTTACTAGCCAGAGTTTCAAACATAAATTGTTTGGGATATGCAGGACACAGGCTTACATTTATATAACGCATAAAAGAATGTCTCAAAGGTTTTGACTAATGTTGTGGTGAACACAAGGCAGGAAAGTAAGAGATTTAAAGATGTTGGGTAAGATAGGTTGAAGAGATTTTTATTTTTAGGAGTTTTTTTTTGAGGCCAGGGAGAGAAGTGACATGACAGGGGACAAGTGGCCGAATGGTTGACCTTAAAGACGAAAGTGTCAGGATGTGGGAAATTGGCAATAATAGGCCGGAGACATAAGAATGGAGGATTCAGATTGGAGTGTAGATATGGATAAGATTGCCTTGATAGGGTGAGGGCAAGATCATGGAAGGATTTGAAGATCAGGGACAGTGATCTCAAAATTGATCCACTGCGGTACTAGGAGCCAGGGGAGCTTGGGAGCTTTGGAGTCCTGTAGCTCAGTGGTTAGAGCACTCGCTTTGCAAGTGAGAGACCTGAGTTCAATTCCAGGCAGAGGACGAAACCTTGGGCAAGTTTCCTTACTCCACACAGAGCCTAATAATAATCTCTCCAAAACCAAAAACAATAATAAATTGGTCATTTTCAATCTATGACTGTTTGTGGGACATTGCTGTGCGCAATTGGCTGCCGCGTTCGCCCACAAATATGCAGTCAATTCACTTTACAGTGTGTTCTGTGAAGTGCTTTGGGACGTCCTCCCGACGTGAAAAGCGCTATATCAAATGCAAGGATTATTATTATTATTGGCAAAGGATGGGGCTCAATTGGTGCGCAGTGCAGAGAATCATACGTTATTTTTTCTATGTAAATTTGTTCTCTAAGGTTAACTTAGACGGTGTTGATGGAGATGGTTGCCGTGATAGGGCTGTTTCAAAACCTGTGTTCATCGACCTGTGCTCTCTCTCTCTCCTAAATGCCGTTAGCGAACTACCTCCTCCACCATCACACACTGCGATCCTAGTATTGTACAGCAGAAATCTCTCCCGAGTTAATCAATGGAACGAATCGATCGGCAACCCTTTCTTTTTCAATTCTATCACTGCTGGACAGTGTGGAGACTGAAAATCTCTATTGTAATTCCGGCCACTTTATAACGCGCAAAAAAAATAGCCATCTCACCTGGTTTGCAGAGGCCAGCAGTTTCCAGGTACCCGTGGCAACGGTCCTTGTGCTCCTCCAGTGAGCTGCGCTGTTTGTAACTTCGGCCACAGAACCCACACTTGTGGGGTTTATCAACTGTAGTGAGAGAGAGAGTGCAGACAGTCAGAGGTCTCGAGCTGAATAAAGAGTTAAAGAAGTGAGGAGTAATCAGATTTTTTTTTTTTTTTTGCAGTGCCTTATGACTTTCAAGCGTGTCAAAGTGCTTCATATACAATCACTGCCGAGTGTAGTGACTGTGTATTCGTAGGGAAACGTGGCAGTCATTTTGCACGCTGTTGGGTGAGGTCCCACAAGCGGCCATGAGATGAATCGTAGAATATTACAGAATATGGAAGGAGGCCATTCGGTCCATTGTGCCTCTGCCGGCTCTTTGGAAGAGCGACCCAATCAGTCCCACTCCCCCCACTCTTTCCCCACATCTGGAGGATTAATGGCCAGTTAACCTGGAGGATTGTCGGTCAAGGCATTGGGGAAGAGACTCTATTTTCATGAAGCTATACGCCTGTGTTTTCTTAACAGCTTCATATCATATGTTTCACTTGTTAGTCATGTTAAAAGTAAAAGCTTTCGATAATAAAAAGCGTAAAGTGCATTCAAGGGTAACATCACACGGAGAGAGTTGGCAGGATTTTCAGTACTAGCCGGGGACAGATGTCTTATTGAGAACCCTGAAAACAGCATCCGAGATAGTTTTTTCCACTCTCTCAATAGCCTTTGACCAGAGGTGGAACCTTTAGATGTCATTTGAGCAAGTTTTCACTCGCCGAGAAAACTGACCACAGAAGGAGCCTAATTTGCATATTTCTTCACAAATTTCTTCAAGAAATGAATAATTTTTAGAGCACTGCATACCTTTCAGCTTTCCATGTACAGAAATTCACTAGCCACACACTTTTCTTATTCCGTTACAAAACGTAGCAAATTAGACACCAAAAAGAGAAAGTCCAAATAATAATTTAACGCCATATCGCGTCGAACTGTCTTCTCTCTCTGTGTGAATAGTGATAGTCAACCACACCGACAACTTGCATTTACATAGCGCCCTTCGCACGGGGTGATGCCCTGAACACACCGAACACACAGATAGGCCTTCAGTTAACATCTCATCTGAAGATGTCACCTCCAACGACAGAGCCCTCCACTTGCCCTGCATTCAAGGGTCAGGCTCAAAGCTCCACACGGAGCCTACAACCTTCTGATTCCTAGACGGTTAGTGCAACCAACTGAGCCAGACTGGACATTCAAAACCAAAGCAGAACATTCTGTAAATATACAGCCTGTATACGGCTTCTGAGAGAGAGTATTGGTTGAATGTTTTGGGTGACATCTCAACATCTGTCAACACTGTTTGTGACTTATCTCAAACGTAACTTATCTTTTTCTTTCAACAACTCACACTTACTATGTTTTGTCCGCAAAATATACAGTCAATTCACTTTACAATATATCGTGTGAAGCGCTTTGAGACGTCTCGAAGACTTAAGGAGTTATATCAAATGCAAGGATTAGTATTATTACTTATGTGTTTCTACCCTGTTCCACTGCCCTCCGCCTTAGCTCAGCTAACACAGATCTGCTTCACGTTCCCCTAACTGTTAAGCCCCCAAATTTGGAAGGAATCTGGATGGCAGCTAGTGCTGCTGTCCAATGTGGTACACTGCTTCTCCCAAGTGTCTTGGAATTAAATCCAGGTACTTGTCAATGCCTAATCCTCTCTTTTCTCAGGGTTCATCTTATTGCCATCTCTTCTTACCAGTGATAACTCGTGAAGGACAGTAATGGGTAAGCACAGCTAGTTTCTCTCACGCTACATTCATGTACCAGAGACCCGGACAGGAATGCCACCCCCACCACCCACCCATACACCACCCGCAGCACCCCCGCCACCACACCCTCCCCACAGACACATGTATTTCACATCACTTGTTGAAAAGGAAGAGACTCTGTGTCCGCCAAATAAAATTGTTCATTCACTTCATGACCGTTTGTGGGATATTCCTGTGCAAATTGTCTACTTTGTTTGTCTACAAATATTCAGTCACTACACTTTACAATCAATCCTGTGAATCGCTTTGAGATGTCTGGATGACATGATAAGGGTCTATATCAGATGAAAGAATTATTATTATCAATGATGCCAGACGTGTACACTTGCATTTTCTCTCTTGTGATTTTGACCTCATTCTCCAGTCTCCATCATCGCAGAAGGGTTTGGTTCCTTTGTTGTGGTGTGTGCTTTTCCCTAATACTGCACCAGTTTGTATAACATCCTAGTTTAATACGTTAATCATATCACAGATTGACATGGGTCTACATGTAAAATCCCGGTATTCAAATAGTGAAGTTAACAGCCCTTGGAGTTAACAGTAGACAAATGTAGACAAAAGCTGCAGCCAACGTCCCACACACAGCCATAAACGCTAATAATTTTTCAATAAATTGGAGGACAAAAAGGAGAAAGTAACTGTTCTATTCAAATATAAAGTGATGGGATCTTTAATTTCCACCTAAGCAGGCAAATATGACCTCAGTTTAGTATTTCATCAAAAGGCAAGTCTTGACAATGCAACTGGGGAGCCCCCAATAGTGAATCAAGCTAGCACTCGAACTCAGCTCACAATATTGGGCTTAAATCCACAACATTCTGACTCACAGGCACGAGACAAGCTGACACGTAATGACCCAGTACCTAAGTTTTTAAATCTTTAACTTAATCATGGCCCTTCTCTGCCAGTAATCGGTCCACCTCCACCTCCATCAATTATTCCACTGCCAAAAGAACCTATGTGAACCTACGATGTTGATTGACGTGATTGACCCGCCGCCCGTTCCCTGCATCCCTGCTATGGGGAGAGGGTGGGGTGGTGGGAGGGTGTCCGTGTTATCAACACACGTTCATACTTCTAGCTGTGTATCTCACACACCGCTTGTACTTTAGGGAAACAAATTCATGGCTTTAATGGAACTCTTCAGTGACTGATCTGGATCGCTGTCACCGGTAGAAATTGTTTTCGAGATCAATCTGGACTCCGAAGGTTTGTTATAGTCGGAAACTGTCGATGGGGAGGAAAAAATGTTGTAGGGCTCGGAGAGATCAGCTCTAAGTCCTAGTGTTAGTTTCTTAGTCTGACTAAGACAGGGTGTTAGAAGTGAATGTTGCCTAGCCTGCACGTTTTTTATATATGGCTCTAGGCTGTGGTTTCACATTGTTTGTGTGAGCAAATAGGACTAAGATCTAACACTAAACACTGCCGATTTACTACACAGCTTTCCTTCAGTAGTATCAGAATGAAAAGGCCTGGCCTGGATGTAAATCAGCACGACCCGAGCCTTTTGTACCCATATTGAGGTTTCACATCTCCCTTGACAAGAATTGCAGTTATTGCGTTTACCACAAGATATACAGGGACACTGACCAATGATCAGTATTGTATCAGGTTCAATGAGTGGGTGGGTGGAGGGAGGGAGAGGAAGGGAGGAAGAATACGACTCAACCAATTAATCCGCAGAGCATTGCTTGCTGCTCCGAGATGAGGAATTTGCTGCTTCACTCTGAAATGTAATGGAAACGAATAAGTTGGGGGAAAAAAAAAGCTTATAGGGTGTAAGCACCAATGTTCTTCAAAGTTTTAAACAAGCACCTGCCTGGGCGAAACACAGAACGTTACAGCACGAAAACAAGCCACTCGCCTCCAACTAATCGGTGACAGTTTTTGTACTCTGCACGAATAATAATAAAAATAATCCTTATGTTTTGTAAAGCGCCATTCACGTCAGCAGGTTATCCCACAGCGCTTCACAGAATTTTACTGTGAAGTGTACTGATCTTGTATTTATAGGTGAAGCAGAAGCCGCCAGTGTGCGCACAGCAATGTCCCACAAACAGCCACTTTTTCATGATGACCAATTTTATTGTCGGGACTGCTGATCAGGACACTTCCTTCTCTTTGCAAATATGGAATCTTTGTCGTCCACCTGAACAGGCAGACAGAACTCGGTTTAATGCCTCATCCAAAGGACAGTGGCTCTGACAATGCAGCATACCCCAAGCATTGCACTCGGGTCACCTTAGACTATCTGACATCCAAGTCCCGATGTGGGGTTTGAACTCACAATCTCCTGACTCAGAGGTTAGAGCGTTACCAACTGAGCCTGGCTGGCATTCAACAACAACAAATTACATCTGTATAGTGCCTTTCACGTCAGGAGGACGTCCCATTCGTTGCTTATATGATTATGCCACTTGCGACACTCATTGTGCCCACTCACATTCCGTGCTGGAATTTACGTGGACTGAGACTGAAGCAAAACAGCAAAGCTAAATGCTGCAGCTCACACACAACACACCCACTAACAGTGCCTTCATTGTGAAGCCTTCTGCATGTCGGTGTGGGCACAAGTTAAACATGCTTACCTGTCTCTCATTGTACTACATTGAAAACTGGGGCAATAAAAAAAAAGGATTGGCTTCAAGACAAATGTCAGTGAAGCTTTCCTCTCTGTGAGTATCACATATGCCAGTGAGGGTTGGTGTGTTTGTGTGAAAGCAAGCGTGAAAGTGAATGTATATTTTCCCGTCTGTCAATGAGCATATCACAAGTCTGGATGAAGGCCCTTCAGCCCATTTAATCCCATCCTCCCATCAAGCTGTTTTTTAAACGAGTCCAACCTCCTGGTCTCAGCCACCCTTCCTCGTAATCTCCTCCAGTTATTAATTATCCTCTGGGTAAATACTGGCCTGATGCATCCAAGAGTAATTAAGATAAAAGAGTTTTTAAAAATGTGGTCACTTTAATCCATGACTGTTTGTGTTGCGTTGCTGTGCGCAATTGGCTGCTGCGTTTCGCCCACAAAATAAACAGTCAATTCACTTTACAGTATATTCCGTGAAGCCCTTTGAGACTTTTCGAAGACATAAGGCGCTATATCAAATGCAAAGATTATTATTATGAAATGTCTTTGTTTACTTTTTCAATCCCCTTCAAAATGTTAAAGATAAAGGTCTCATCTGAGATATCCCCTTTCAAGAATAAAGACGGCTGGAATGTTATCTCCTCGAAAAACACCTATTAGGTTGGTCAGACATAATTGACCCTTTTGCACCTTTGGGGTGGAAGAGCCAATGTGTGGGTTTATCTGGGAATGTGTGCGGACATGGTGTGAGGCGTAGATATCAGACAATATTCCACCACTGACATTATCTGTTGGTGTTGACATAAAGTCAGCTAATGATTTCTTGTCAAATCTCGAGCATCTCATACACATCAATTCTTCGGAGTTTCGCAACCAACTGCGCTCAACAAGGAGTGTCTGCAAACAATGGCACAAGTGTTGCAACATCAACAGACTTTTAGTTTAAGTGCTAAGAAAGCACATTCTAGTCAAAGCAATTTTGTGAACAGCGTAATTCTGACCCTCTTTTTACACAGCAAAGTGACAACACTAGCACCCAGTGGCTACTGTAGGTACTTCCCTTTAGAGAAATAGACGATTATAATAGTAGTAAACTTCCTTTAGGACAAGAGTAAAGACTAGGTGAAAAAACACAGGCAATCTTTGCAGGACACGCAAACCAAGAGAACGTTTGCTGATTCTTCTGTCGTGCTGGATTGACGGAGCAGCGGCAAGAATCCACGATTGCCGCAAGAAGAATCCATAATTGCTCTCCAGAAATTGATGGGAACCAATTCCGGCCTAAAATTTGTAGTTAATGGCAGAGTTTAGAGTGAAATGCTATAATCATGTGAAAAGTCTAGTGAAATTCCAAAGGCATTGACATCAGCCTCTGAATGTGTATGAAGCAATGGCTCTGCCTAGTAATGTACCCAGTTCACAGCCATCAAAAAGGGAAGAATATTACTGTATAAATGGGGGGAAGGTAACTTTGCACCATTTCTTTTGGGCTTTTCGATTTCCTTCCTACACTGCAAGGCACCCACACATTACAGTAGAGGCTGTCACACTGTAGGTGAGAATCTGAAACTTTCCACTGTGAAGTCGAGGTGCTACAGTCAATAATATTGCAATTAGAGATAAACAAATTGAAAAGCTGGCCACACTACTCACAAAGCTCACTTTGTTATTACTAAGAAGGATGATATGGTTGTAAAGTTTCATCAGAACGATATTTTATGCAGTCAACATGCTCCCCCTCAAGCAATCTCTTTCTGGATTGCCTTTCCTCAATGTGAATGTGTTTGAGCTCTATGCTGATCCTTTATTTCTCTCACTGCTGTACGCCAATAATGTGACTTTTATTAGTTTGCTCTGTTTCAGCCTAATATCAGAACAATATGTAGAAGCAATTATAAAGCCAACTACATTAAAAGAAAGATTAGTACAAAATGTATGTTAATTAAACCACTCTTTAATATTAACCCTTGCATTTGTAGCCCCTCATCACGTCACTGCACATCTCAAAACGCTTCACAGGATTTACTACAGAGTGAAGTGACTGTTTTCTTGGCAAAAAACAATTTGTACACATCAATGTCCCACAAACAGCCAGGAAATGAATGACCAATTTTATTTGGGGGGTATTCTTGGTTAGGACTTCATGACAAACTCTTTTCTCTATTCAAATAGTGCCATGGAATCTTTATCATACATCTCAGCAGGCAGCTGGGACCTTGGTTTAATGTCTCAAGGATGGCAACTTTTAACATTGCAGGTTCCCCAGCAATGAACTGGAGGCTCAGGAATGCAGCTAAGGAGCTGACAACTTGTTCCACCAACTTAGAGAGAAAAGGTAACTGGAGAACATGGCTAGGGCGAGTTAGGGTTCCTTGAGAAAGGTGGATGACAGCGGTGACAGCTGAGCAGATCTGTTCGATTCAGGACACAAAGAAATCCATCACCCACCTGCTTTTGGAGTTGGGAGACGAGAATACAACGAGCATGGGGAGGACGGGTGGAGGAGGTGATTACTGGTGGGGAGAAGGAGGCTAAGGTTCAATGGCCTCCTCGGAATAGAAGGATCATTTAGATACAACTTAAGTGGGCTGGACTCAGTTAGAGGGAAGATGTCACCAGAGGCGAGGCAGGTTTCAGCGAGACCGATAAAATGTCGATGTTTTGTCTGGGATGAGAGAGTGGACGGAGAGAGCACCCAGCAGAACTTACAAATTTAGACTTCTTTGAATAATCATTCTGTAGACACGAAAGTTATTTAACTAAGATTCCAACCTTACTTCCTTAGTGAAAGCCTGCATGCAAATCATGACCTTTCTCGCACTTCTTGGAAGCTGATCTGAAGCAATATTGAAATCTTTTGCATTGACAGTAAAAAGCGAGACCGATTGACTTACTGGAATGCGTGCGCAGGTGACCGCTCAGGGCATCTCGGCGTCGGCAGGCGTAGTTGCACAGGTGGCACTTAAAGGGCTTTTCACCGGTGTGGAGCTTTAGGTGGCGAAGTAGATTTCCCTTCTGAGTAAAAGACGCCCCACACTGATTGCAATGAAACGGACGCTCACCTGCAGAGGCAAGAGAGGCACGGTTACCGTCAGGTTAAAGCACAACCATTTATTGCTACTCAGTTACACACAACTGTGCCCCTAACCCTCTTTTTTTTTTCTTTTTTTTTTTGGAATCGGCTGTTGCGTTGCGCTACCCTTTCGCTGTTGCCAGAGCCCGGAGCAGGATCACGGGGTGCGTTAACATTAAAGCCACTCGTTTAAAAAGCGTGGCTGGCCGTAACTAATGCCAATAATCTCCATCATTCAATCATTATCCAAAGTTTCAATTGGAAACAGATTCAAAGAGGGCCTTCCATAGGAGTGGGAGGGAGAGAGGGGGTGTGGGTCAACCAGCTTTGATTCTTCTCCAGATAATGCCACCAGCATAATCTGTTGCTTTACATTATCTTCTAAGAGTGAGTAATGGCGCTCTGCAGATTTACTCATCAGTACGTAGATTTCATGTCAACCTTATAGCTAAATGATGGCATTATTGATTGATCAGACCAACCATATTGTCCATGAGCCAAAGCAAGTGTGAGCCTTGAACTCATCTTCAGTTAATCTCAAAGCTGAAACTAACCAGCACACTGCCTTGCTCTGTGACCTCGATCTAGTCGAGTTGGTTGAACGTACCTTGAGCAGTTTCACCCTGGGGACGAGTAGAAACGCTGCTGAGTAGAAGTGTGAACGCTACAACAGCGCAATATATCTTTGGCTTTGAAACTGAAGCAGCCAGACAGGGACTGAGTGATGGGGCCTTTTCTTAAACATGCAATTGTGTGGGAGGCTTGTTTTAGCTTTCTTTAACTGGCCTGCGATTGTCAGTTGGATTATTAAGAAAATGGATATCTGCAGAAAATTAATATCATTGCAAGTACGAAACTTAGGCTTCAGATGAACTTGAAGGCACTTATATTATCTCTGGCCAGGTATTTGCGAGATAGTGAGCACACTACCCACTGGTCAGGAATGCACAAAATACTGAGTCCAACTCCTACAGGTTGATTGCATAAGTGGTACCTGTTATGAGCATCTGTCCCATGGCTCAGTTGTGCATTGACACTAAGGTTCCCCAGCGCCTTGGGACGTCCTCCTGTGGTGAAAGGCGCTATACAAATGTAATTTTGTATTGTATTTCCACTGATCTATAGGCACTGAATTTGGGGGTGGGCTTTATACACACTCCTATTCCCTTATTCTCTGATCCGCAAATGGCACGGAGACATAAATTAAACCAAGCAATTCACAGCCAAACCAAACCCTGGGACACACGTTCTAATTCTCCGGACAGAAGGGAGTCTCCCCCTTCCTTGCTCAGACTCTATTCCACCCCCCCACCCAGCCCCTTGCAGTGAACAACGGCAACTGTGAAGAAACAAATCAAGCAACAAAGTTCAGAACATTTCTCGTGTTCAGGAGGTAAAACAGTGACATATTAGTTAAACAAACACTGAGGTGTGATATTTGTTTGTTATGCATTTAAATGGATTCTTACTGTACAATGCTGTACTGTGTGAATTACTGCCTTCTACTGTAAATTTAGGAACACCAATTACCAGTGTGGCTTCGCTTGTGCACCATGAGGACATTGGGCCCAACGCATGACAGTCCACAGATATCACATGTCAGTTTTCCGTTAGATGCTCTAATACCATCGGCTGAAGTTGACTGGATGTTGAATGGGTCCTTGTCGTGTCCGTCGTTTTCCGTCAGGCAGATGTTACGCGTTCTCCCGGAACCCTCAATGTGACACGGCGTGTCTTCCGTCAGGTCAAGAGCCTCCTCGTTGTCGTCGTAATCGGCCTCGACTTTAATGTCGCCGTCTGTAAAGAGCAGGAAGCTGCTTCGGTTAACGTTCTGTCTCGTGGATAAAATGTCCTCGATTACAACAAAATATCGCAAAACATTACACGGGAATCTACGTCCAGTTTTAGCGCACAATTCTCTATCCTGTTGAAGCGCTCCAGGACCTACCCCACATGACAGGCGCAATATAAATGCAAGTTGGTGTTGGATCTGTGGAGCAAACATAAATATACCCGCGACATCTGTTGGTTGATGAAGGTTCAGCCGCTGGAATCAGCGCATGGGGAATGTGCCTCCTCCCACTCAGATCAAAGCTATGATGGAGTGCAGACAGTGACATTACAGGTAGAAAGAAGGAACCAACACAACTATCTATCTTCAGTAATGAGTCGAAAAGACAATCGATCCACACATCAACAAGACATTTATAGAGCGCCTTTCACGTCAGGAAGACGTCCCAAAGCCCTGAACAGTCAGATGTGGGGGCCCGGGCATGGGGGAGGGGTAGGGTGGGGGTGAGGGAAGGCAGAGAGGTGGAAGGGAGACCAAAGGCATGGTCGAAGAGAAGGGTCTTGAGACCGACCTTGAAGGATTCAAGGGAGGAAGCGAGGTGAAGGGTCCGTGGGATGGAGTTCCAGAGTGTGGGGGCAGAGAGGCTGAAAGCCCGGCTACCGATGGTAGGGCGGGTCGGGTGGGAGACATGGAGCAGGCCGGAGCCTGATGAATGGAGGGAGCGGGCAGGTTAGCAGGTCAGAGAGGGCAAGGCCATGGATGGGCTTAAAGGTGAGGACAAAGCTCAATCCACTGCTTTCCATGTGGACTAACAGAAGATCGCAGGACACTTTCATGCAATCCTTGCACATAGACGACTGCGTCAATGGAATGGGTCTCTTCCCTTACACCTGTAAACTCTATAACATGTCAGTACACATGTCGAAAGGGAGCAATAACTTTCTTCCATGTTATATTAAATTGCACGACTGTTTGTGGGACGCTGCTGTGCTCAATTGGCTGCCGCATTTTGCCCACAAAATATACAATTTGCAGCATATTCACTGAAGCGCTTTGAGACGTCTGAACAATGTGATAAGGCACTGTATCAAATGCAAGGACTATTATTTTTACTACCTTTCATTATTTATTCACATATATATTTCATATTATGCTTTCTAATATTTTACATACTTTAGCATAAACCATGATCGCAAAGATCCTCAACTTGAACTCACAATCTTCTGATTCTGAGGCAAGAGTGCAATCAACGGAGCCAGGCTGACGCCTTTTATATTTATATTATAATTTAGACTATTATTGTAGTCCACCTGTCATTTTTGAAAATGTACAATTGTGTGGTATGTGGGGGGGATGTATGTGGTGGGAGCAATTGTCTGAGCATTGATGTCTGTAATTACCCATCTAACTGCCTGGAAAGTTGGTAAAATTTCCTTTTGGCCTGTGACTGATGCGAGTGGGAGAGTTTGCTAACTCAGGACCTCGCCTTGAGGGCTCGGAACATCAGAGTTGCGTGATTCTCCCCACATTATAAAACATGTGCTTCCCCTATATTCCTCCTCTGCAGCCAATTACATGCTGCAATTTTTTCTTTAAAAAGATTTAAGGGACTTTGCATGAACAACGGATCATCACAGGAAGTCCACATTCCATCCAACCTGTGTGGAAAGACATTTTATCTAATCTCTTCATTAATTCTTTTCTGGTTGCAATTATTAAACATGTTGCAAACAAATTTGCGCGAGTGCAAAATTATAGAAAAGGTGTCGGGCACCATTTGACCATACACTTTTCAGAGAACGCAACTTTCTGGCAGTGTTTCTGGCAAGTCTCATACTTTCCCTTGATTATAAAATCCTGAACAATGCTCTTTTCTCTTTGTGTGTAAACCTGCTCTTTCTCCATTCAACTTCTCCCCCCCAAAGTGTTGCCACCCTTAAAGTCACGTAAAAAAGTCCAATGAAGATGACTTCACCTGCCAAACGTGGAGTAAGTATAGTCCTTCTCAGTAACCAGAAGTCACAGATTTAAGATAATTGGTAAAGAACCAGAGGGGATACGACGAGAAATCGTTTTACCCAGAGTTGTTACGGTCTGGAATGCACTGGCTGAAATGGTGGTGGAAGTAGGTTCGATAATAACTTTCAATAGGGGATTGTTTAGGTACTTAAAAAGAATAAATTTGCAGGGCTTCAGGGTAAGAATGTGGGAATGGGACTAGTTGGTAGGTCTTTCAAAGAGCCGGTAGAGGCACGATGGGCCGAATGGCCTCCTTCTGTGCTGTAATATCGTATGATTCTATGATAAGTACTGTACTTTGAGAGGAGCATAATATCACTCTGAAATGTGATACAGCCCAACAAAAGCCAATTGAAATTGAGTGAGCAGAAAGTAACTGTAAGTAAAACTGTTTCCAGATGGTGCTGTGAAGGTTTCCTCTTTACCCGCTTTTGCTTTTTGCTGTTTACAGCAGATCAGACATATCTTGAAGTGAAATCTTCTCTTCATGGCCCATCTCTGTTCTCCTGAAAATCAGCCCCAATAACCTATTTGCATGTTCTGTGACCTTCACACTTCAAAAAGAAGAGGTTTGCTGAAGGGATGCACCTGACTTTCAGTCTCCTCAGCTGTGCGTGCTATCCCTGTGTAGCCTGGCTCTTGGCTGCTCAAGTGTAGGCGTAAAAAGCATTAACGGAAGCTTGAATATTGAAGAACTGCGCAAGCTGATCTCAAACTGCTGCTTTTTTGTTCTTCTTGTTTATAACGACGACGGAGAGGAGAAAAAAAATGGTAAAAGTTTCTTTATGCAACAGTGAGTTTCTGCTGATCACATCTCATTTCATGTCTACGAAGAGTATGTACTCTTGCTAGTGATTCCTCTAAGGCTGAACTTTGCACTGAAGGAAAGCTCTTCATACCTTGTACCACAAAGAAATCACTTGGTTATTATGCTTCTCTCCCTCGCAGTTCTCTGTTGATTGCCTGTTTCTGGCAATTCTCGCACTCCTGCACTTGGACATAGCAGAAAGTAATAAGTTTCCCAACCTATTTCCTGTCTTTATTTTAGGAAATGCATCACCTTACCCCAGGTCACCACATCTCAATAATGGCCATACATCACTCATTTCTCACTCTTTATGGGACACTGCTGTGCGCAAATTGGCTGCCATATTTCACCCACAAAATTTGCTGCACAGAAGGCCATTCGGCTCATCGCATCTCTGTTGGCTCTTTTAAGAGCAACCCTTTCAGTCCCAATTACCTTGCCTTTTCCCACACCCCTGTAGGTGATTCCTTTTTGGTACTTATTTGTTTAGTTCCCCTTAGAAATCAAATATGGATTCTCCCTCAACCACCACTTCCATACCCTAATTACTCTGTGTTAAAAAAAATTCTCCTTACCTTTCCATTTGCTGGTTTGCTAACTTTCTTAAATTGATGCCCGATCAATAGAAATAATGTCTGAAGAGCCTCCTTTTATTCTAATCTTTTGCACCTGAGCTTGTATTCTACTTCACTTCAATACCTTTACCATAGAACCTTTAACAAGTCTACTTGATCCAATAATAATAATCCTTACATTTTGTACAGTGCCTTTCACATCAGGATGATGTCCCAAAGCACTTCACAGGATACACTGTAAAGTACAGATTCTGTTGGTTTTATGGTCTTACAAAACTTTGTAGTGTCTGAATAGCCTCCTTGCACCTAATCTTCTGCATCTATGCTGATATTCTATTTGGCTTTGATGCCATAAACATAGAACATGACTTTACATTTTGTGGTCAAGTACACCAAATTTCTCACAAGTTCGGATGAAGAAAGCCTTTAAGCCCATCGGATCTCATCCTTCCCACAACACCTATCCTACCAGTCTCCCATCACAGTATCAGGGCATATTTTCTAAAATACGGCTGGATACTGATGCTACCAGTGTCCTGGCCTCAACCCCCTTTCCTGGCAACCTGTAACAGTTGGTAATCACCCTCTGAGTAAAGAAAACTTTCCTGGTGTCTGTCCTGATATTGACCATTGCAATTCCAAACCTACGTCTTGTTTCATTGTCTTTGTACTTCCTAAGGTAAAGTTCTGGCTTTACATTTTCAATTCAATATTTTATATAAATCAACAACAACAACTTGATTTATATAGCGCCCTCCACGCAGGATAGCGTCTCAGAGCGCTTAACAGTGACGGAGATTTGTCACAGTTTAAAAAACAAACTGGTCGGTCAATCACCTCATGGCTGTTTATGGGATGCTTCTGTGCGTAAATTCACTTGTGGGCAATTTTTCAAGGTAAATTCATTTAAAAATTCAGTCATTACACTTCAAAGAAAAACTCTGCGCGGAACGCTTTGAGACGCTTTGACACGATAAGACTCTGTATCAAATCCAAGGATTTTTTTCAGACCTCAAGACCAGCAGAATTGAAACAAGGAAAGGGATAAGTGGGAGAATGCCATGAACACATTATCACCCTCGCTTCAACTTAAGTCAAACAATACTGGTCCTTCAACCTGCTTTCATTAAAAAAACTCTCATCTTTACTTTTTTTTAAAAAAAGCAGACTAAAATCTGGTTGGCAGGACTCAATTTTACACCAAAATTGCTGTAATAACAAGTTGGTCTTCTTATTAGGTAAGGTTGTAGTCAAGTCATTTTTCTTACAGTAATAGCAATATATTTGCAGAAATGTTTTGCATAATAAGGAGTTACCAGTAAATGTATTAATCATCTGTAACTCCATTTGGTTTTATGTCAGCACTAATACAATAGAAACGTTTTACTGTTCAGATGTTTCTCACAGAATAAATTCTTAGAAGGGCATTAACTAACATGAATACAGTACTTTTTCCAGCAGCCTCCCACCTGACCATAGAATTAATATTCAAGAAATATGAATACAATAGTAATCCCACGAAAGCCGGAAACGACTTGTGTATGATTAAACATTACTCTGATTTCTTATAAATGAGACTGAAAGAAGGCCATGGAAATGATAG